ATGAAAGCAGTCCTGAGAGGGAAGTTCATAGCACTACAAGCTTACCTCAAAAAACAAGAAAAACTTCTAACAGACTCACTAACCCTACAACTTAAAAACTTAGAAAGAGAACAGCAAGAGAAGCCCAGAGTAGTAAAAGGAAGGAAATAATAAAGATCAGAGCAGAAATAATTGACATAGAGACTAAAAAACAATACAAAAGATCAATGAAACCAAGAGCTGGTTCTTTGAAAAGGTAAACACCATTGATGCACCTTTAGCCAGACTCAACAAGAAACAGAGAGGACCCAAATAAACAAAAACAGAAATGAAACAGGTGAAATTACAACTGACTCAACAGAAATACAGAAGATTATAAGAAAATACTGTGAACAATGTTATACCACCATGCTGGACAACCTGGGTGAAATGAATTCCTAGAAAAATACAACCTTCGGAAACTCAGGAAGAGTCAGAAAGTCTAAACAAGCTGATAACTGCTGATGAAGTTGAAGCAGTAATCAAAGGTCTCCCAGCACACAAAAGCCCTGGCATTGAAAGTTTCACAGGGAAGTTTTACGAAACATTCAAAGAAGAATTAACACCTATCCTCCCCAAACTATTTCAAAAAATCCAAGAGGAAGGAAGATGTACAAACTCTTTTCAAGAGGTCAGCATTAGCCTAATTCCAAAACCAGATAAAGACACTACAAAGAAAGAGGAATACAGGCCAATATCCCTGATGAACATAGATGCTAAAATCCTCAACAAAATATTAGCAAATCAGACCCAGCAATATATTAGAAAGATCTTACACCATGATTAAATAGGATTTATTCCAAGGATACAAAGCTGATACAATATTCACGAATCAACAAACGTGATACATCACATAAAAAAACTGAAAGACAAAAATCACATGATTATATCAATAGATGCAGAAAAAGCATTCAATAAAATCCAAGCCAGGTTTTTGATAAAAACTCTCAGCAAAGTGAGACTAGAGAGATCTTACCTCCACATAAAAATAAAGGCCATATATGACAAACCTACAGCCAACATCATACTCAATGGACAAGAATTAAAACCATTTCCCCTAAGAACAGGAACAAGACAGGGGTATCCACTTTCACCACTCTTATTCAACACAGCACTGGAAGTCCAAGCCACAGTGATCAGAAAACATAAAAGGCATCCATATTGGAGAGGAAACAGAACTATCATTATTGGCAGATGACATGATATTGTACATAGAGAATCCTAAAGACTCCACCAAAAAATTACTAGATTTAATAAATGAATTCAGCAAGGTAGAAGGGTACAAAATTAACACCCAGAAATCAATGGCATTTTTATACACCAATAAACTCTCAGAAACAGAAACTAAAAAAACAATCCCATTTTCTCCCCAAGTTCACTTGAAAGAAAGAATATAAGTTATCATGGGCTAAAACAGAAACTGTCTGCTTAGCCACACTGCTTAATGATTGTACTGTTTGTTGTTATAGAAAAATACAAATATAAGTGAATTTTACTGTTAAAAAAAAACAAAAACAAAAAAACAATCCCATTTACCATTGCAACTGAAAAAATAAGATACCTAGGAATAAACTTAACCAAAGATGTAAAAGACCTTTACTCAGAAAACTACAGGACACTGAAAAAAGACATAGAAGATATAAACAAATGGAAAAATATACCATTTTCATGGATTTGAAGAACATCATTAAAATGTCCATACTACCCAAAGCAATCTGTAAATTCAATGGAATCCCTATTCAAATACCAAGAGCATATTTCACAGATTTAGAACAAACACTTCAAAAATTTATACAGAACCAGAAAAACACCCCAAATAGCCAAAAGAAACTTGAGAAAGAACAAAGTTGGAGGGATCGCAATACCAGAAATCAAGTTATACTACAAAGCCACTGTAATCAAAACAGCCTGATACTGGCATAAGAACAGACATATAGATCAGCAGAACAGAACAGAGAACTCAGAAACTGGCCAACTTCATTATGGTCAATTAATATTTGACAAAGGAGGCAAGAACATACAATGGAGTAAAAATAGTCTCCTCTATAAATGGTGTTGGGAAAATTGGACAGGTACATGCAAAAAAATGAAACTGGACCACCAACTTACACAATACACAAAAGTAAACTCAAAATGGATAAAAGGCTTAAATGTAAGACATCAAACCATAAAAATCCTAGAGGAAAACAGGCAGCAAACTCTCAGACATCTCTCTTAGCAATATTTTTGCTGATACCTCTCCTAAGGCAAGAGAAACTAAGGAGAAAATAAACAAATGGGTCTACATCAAAATAAAAAGTTTCTGCACAGCAAAAGAAACCATCAACAAAATGAAAAGGGAGCCCACTTTATGGGAGAACATATTTGCCAACAACACATCTGATAAAGGATTAATATACAAAATATATAAGGAACTCATACAACTTTACAAATGGAAGACAAACAATCCAATTTAAAAATAGACAAAGGACATAAATAGACACTTCTCCAAAGAAGACATACAGATGGCTAAGAGACATGAAAAAATGCTCAACATCGCTCATCTTCAGAGACACAAATTAAAACCACAATCAGGTATCACTTCACACCTGTCAGAATGGCTACCATCAACAAATCAACGAACTACAAGTGCTGATGAGGGTGTGGAGAAAAGGGTACCCTAGTACACTGCTGGTGGGAATGCAGACTGGTGCAGCCACTATGGAAAGCAGTATGGAGTTTCCTGAAGAGATTAAAAATTGACCTGCCATTTGACCCAGTGATCCCACTTCTAGGAATATATCCTAAGAAACCCAAAACATCCATCACAAAGAATTTATACATCCCTATGTTCATAGCAGTGCAATGTATAATAGCTAAAATCTGGAAACAGCCCAAGTGCCCATCAATAGATGAGTGGGTAAAAAAGTTGTGGCACATTTACACCATGGAATACTATGCAGCTGTAAAAAAGGATCTTTTATCCTTTGGGACAGCATGCAGGGAACTAGAAAGTATTATGCTAAGGGAAATAAGCCAGTCAGAGAAAGACAAGTACCACATGATCTCGCTTATATGTGGAATAAACAAAATAAACTGATGAACAAAATGGATCCAGATACATAGAAGCATGGAACCAACTGAGGGATCTCAAAGGGAAGGGGAGAGAGGGGGTGGGTGGGGAGATATCAAAGAACTTATATGTTTATAAGCATAACCCATGGACACAGACACTGGCCTGGGGAAGGGATCAATGGGGGTAAAAAGGGGACATCTGTAATATTTCCTATAATATTCAAATAAGCAACCAAAAAAAAACCCAAAAAAAATGAAACCCCAAAATAAGCTTAAAATGACAAAACTGGAAGTCCTCCCAGTGCTGAGCACAGGGAAGCTGCCAAGAGTCACAGGCATAGGGGACAATGAATAACTTAAGAACTCTTTTGGAACTTCTCCTTCCACTTTCCTCATTGGGTTTATCTGTCCCACAGGTATATTCCCTTGCAGGGAAATGTAAATGAGTACTAATGGGAACCTAGGGCCCATTCCCTTTCAGAAGCAACACACCAGGATATGCATCGGCCAAGTTTGTCACATCACATCCTACTCATTTGTAGTAACAAGATAAAATTGTAACATGTAATGCACGAGTTCTTCAGGCATAAGTACTAAAAGCGTATGTACAGCTTAAGGCTTTCTTCCAAAGGCAATACTTGCCAATATAATTGCCAACGAAGGAATAGAAACTCCTGCCTATTAAGACGGCAGAGTCATATGCTTATGAAGTCACAAACCTAACATTTGGGTATTTAATCACCCAGAATTCTAGGAACACCAATGACCACTGCACTTACTAAGGAATTGGGGCTGTTTACTTCTTCAATTACAGTGATTTCTTTCCTGAATACATCCTACTTGCCACAAACTTACAAATAGTTTTTCATGCTCAAGTCCCATCCTGCCCTTTCCTCAAAATGTTTTTGTTCCTCAGTTTATTGGGTTTGTGCTTCTCAGTATTCCTGACCAAAGCAAATGAAATTGGAAATGAGACCACAAATCACCCATACTGGGTGATTCAAGTAGTAAAAAAAAAAAATGAAATAACTAGTGTAGTTAATAGACAATGAGGCAGAACTTGTCACATAAAAATACAAAGTTTTCAAACAGTACATTTTATTTGACATTAGAAAACATACTCCCCAATTTGTCTCAGTTGTGATATGTGATGGCTTTTAGATTGCTTTTTGATGTCACTCATGCTGACCAAGATTTGTCAATCTTCAAAAAATTCAAGGCAGAGATTCTGCATTTCACATGAGTTCACAAGTCAAAGTGTTTCTTCTTCCATTTAGTGAAGTATTTTGGCATATATTCCCTTTGAGGTAGAAGGGTAGAGATAAAGCCATCTCTTATAAAAGCAGATTTGTTCACTACTTCATTTATGCCACAAAAATCAGCTGATGGTAACGTGTTCTTATTCAGGAGTGGCAATCTTAGGATGCCAGAAACTGCGAAAGGAAGGCTTGTAATTACTTTCTTCTTTTCACTTTCTAATACAGACTCACCCCTACCTAAAGAACGGAGTGTTACTGAGTCCAGCTGACACCACATATTAAAAGCTAAACATTACAGATGTATCTGATGTCAAAATTAAAATGTACAAAGAGAAAACCAGAAAAATCGCCCCACATCCTCTTCAAATGTGCTCCCTCCACCAACTATCCTTTCACATTTATCTCTTTCCTTCTCCATTTATTTACGCATGTTATTGTTGGTTTGCCATGTAAACTAAAATATACATGTTTTGAAAGTAAACAATAAAGTCCTCTTCCTTTACAGTGAATTGTCTCTATCTTTAAGACTACCTTATGATGGAGGCCAAGTTGATTTAATTAACATATCACATAATTATCTAACCCAAGGCTTAGTTAATATCATTCAGCCAAAAAGTGTTTCTAAAAAACTTATAGAAATGAATGAGGACAAAAAACTTTATCCTCATCTCAACAATGACCAGTTATTTTAATTCCATTAAATTTTTAAAAAGCAATACCCAAGTTATTCCTGGAGGTACTAATACCTCAAGACCAATCCAAAACAAAGCCAGGCTGCCCTTAGAAATAGGTTTGACCTTTTCTTTCACTCTTCCTCCTATCCCACCCTCTGTGAGTGATTTAAAAATAGAAAAGGTCAAAACCCAGTTGGGCCTAGATTTAGAAGTTTGGATTTTAACTTTTTGTTTGTTTGGTGTTTTTCCCTCCAATTTTTGCCAATTACTTCTAGTTTTTATTATTCTTAAAATTTAAGCATGGTAAAAATTGTTAAGCCATTTTCATTTTTTCATTCAATGACAGTACTGTACCACAATAAGTCCTTTTGTGACCAAGTTTGATGCTGAGAGGCAATTTCTAAGGTTTAAGTAGAAAGTTTGTTGTTAAAGAGATATCATGTCTCCATCTCCAATCTTGCTATCTGGGGATTGTTCTTCAGAGATCTACTTAGGCAGTGTGTATTTGTCAGAATGTAAAGAATAAAGAATTGAAAATAGACAAAACTGGTGAATGTTTCAAAACCAATTGTGGTTTGAGTATGGGTGGTTCCCCAAGGATGGTACCATTGAGACTGGGGTTTGGGAATTAGTTGTCATCCCTCCTTCTGCCCAACAATGGCCACAGCCATTTCTCATGAGCGACGGGCTAGGAAAAATGGTCTATTATAAGAAAGGCTCCTGTAATTTAAGGAGCAAGCTCAGTGAAAAACCCTGCTTATTGTAGTGGCCAGAATGACAGAAGAAATATGGAGTAGGAATTAAACCACACAATGTTATCCAGGGGCTAAAAACCCCTAACAAGAAAACAACTCTAAAGGAAAGTTTTACAATTTCTCTGGGAAAGCATTCATTTTTCATCTCTTGGGCCAAGTGAGAACCCAGCAAAACCTTATATATAATAGGTACTCAATTATACTTGTAGAATGAATGAATAAATGAAAAAAAAAAGTGAAGGAACAGTAAACTCTTCCATATTCTAGCCTCCAAGCCAGTTAAAAAAAAATTGTATTTCAGTTAAGACCCTTTTTTATTCCTTGCCTAGAAATTAGCACATTGCCTTGAAATAGACACTTCTGTTTAATGACCAGTTTCATTCTTGTTTTTTTATTGCATCTCCAAGACAAAATGCCTTTGCAACAGATCTATTTCTTTTAGCATCACCTTCTCCAATGTTTGTATTAATGAATAAATAAAAAGCTCTCATTCCTCCTCTATAAAACACGTCAAAGAGAAGGTGATCTATTTAACCATTCCCTCTGTGTCTTAATATCACAGCTGGTCAATTAATTTTTTTCATCTAATGAAAGACCTGCAATGATAAAATTTGTTCTTGTGTTTCAACCATAAGCTACTGAGATTAAAGTGCACTTTGTTGTTTTGAATCTCTTAATTCTCCTTAGTACTTAAGGACAGTACTTTATTCGGAGTGAATAAATGTTTACAAAATATAGAAAAAAAAGTTCTTATTGCTCAACTGGCTTCCTGACTCTAAGCCAGGCCAATGAGCAAATAACTTTACCAGTTGTTTCATCTTAATTCTCATCATAAACTGCATAATAATAATTAAAGCAGAATCTTAATCAATTAAGGACAAATCCTGAGCCCTTTTATCAGTCTTCTGGCTTCAATTTAGGTCAATGAGCAAGTGATATTGGGACTTTTTAGAATTAGGGAAAATGTCATTTTATATTAAAAGAACCATGACTTTTTCCCCCTTTTGTTTTTATCTCCAAAGCAAGTCGATGGGTTTTCTGAACCATGCCTACTCGACTAATTAAATGAGCATAGTACTTCCCAGAAAACAGGCACTCCGATATTTACTCAAAAATCAAAGATGTTTTCATATCTTCAGCTATGATCTGTGACTGATATAAAGATCTTTACACTAGGCCCATTTCACTGCTCTTATGCTCAGGACCTAGAATTATTTATTCCATATAAAATATGCCATGTTTGTCAAGTAAATCCAAAAGCAATGCTGAGCCATTTATTTTTACTCTTTAAATGTCTCTAGCCAGGCCAAGGTGAAGCTAATTCACCTCCATCTTCAGCATTAAGAATTTAAAAATCTAACGGAAAACCGGAACACCTTGTTTTTTTTTAAAAAAATTTTCCCATCTCTTCACTTAGGCCAGGGAGCAAGTAGCTTTTTGGTCTAGATGGTATCTTTACACCTAAGCTCAGCATTTAGCATACTGCTTTGCACAATTCTATTTTCCCCATGTTTTCATCATTACATAAGCCTGGCAGTAGTTAAGTACCTTTTAGTATAGATCTCACATCTATTACATCATTTCCTCCTATAAGCATCCAATAATGATAAAATCATTTTTGTGCAGTTTTGAGCCTCATAGAAAGTAATCAGTCATTCACTAAGGCAACAGTTAATTCCTTTTATCTATATAGAACACAAAGATTTCTAAATTTACGCAGATCTCTGTTGCAGGTTCAATAATAAGGGTAATTAATTTTTGTATCACTAGTTGCTTTCTGGGGATATGAGAGAGTAAATCATCAATATTCATACAGCAGATATTGCTTACATTGTATGGCAGTTTAACATTTACAAACACAATAAAGATGTTTTATTTTCAGATCCTTGATGCCTAGCAAAGACTGGCACATAGTAGACATTATCCAGCCTTGAATTCATCATAAATTTAATCTTTTACATATTATAGTCAGAGTGTTCAATAGTTAACAATACTTCAAGTTTTTATAGTACTTGGCACCAAATGAGAAAATCAAGTTACATTTATATGGTGCTTTAGAGTTCACAAAATGCTAACATATTTATTGCCTTATTCTCAACTGTAGGCACACTAAATGTGTGTATCTCTTTAGTACCTGTACCAGTTAGTTCGCATAGTAGGAACTGATACTAGTTCATTAAATAAGTAATCAAACGCTCAGTTTGTATAATTATTTATACGACCTCTCTCGTAGTGGGTCAAGCATATAATCAGAATTTTACAGACAACGCTTAACTCACAGAAAGTTTTATTCACACAGAAAACGTCTTATGTCATATTTATACAACACTTTATAGTTTAGAAAGCTCAAGCTCATTCATTATATTTTCTTGTTATCTGGGAAAATATACTGGTAATAACTTGTTATCACCAGTAAAGTCTTGACTGATTAAAATAAGCAATATCTAATTCTTTACATCTAAATAATGCAGAATATAAACCTCCTTCTTATTACTTGGGAGCATTATCTTAGATTTCACAGAACCCAAAATAATAGCTGGAAGTATTTATTCATTCATTCATTCATAAACATTTAGCCCATTGGTATTTAGTGCTTTAGTTTACAAACCACTTTAAAATGCACTTATCTGAAATTTTAAATTCTCTACTGAGAATGCTTTTTCCTGTTATCCGTAGTGCCTAGCATGTTATCTAGTATATTGGAAGTCATCGCAATAGCTTAATCCCTTGTGTTTGCTGTATAGTTTATAGTTTAAAGTAGTTTCCATGTGTTTTCTTTTCTGCTACCTGGAATACTGCATTTTTATTCAAAATCACCAAAGCAGCAGAAACACGATGGCTACAAACAAATTTTCATTTATCAATTATTTAATTCCTAATATCTGCATAGTATTATGTAATTTGGACAAAGCACTTCATTCATGCTTCTTCTAATCTTTGTATCCACTGTGCTTAGACAGTAGAATGTATATACTTTGTAATCAATATTCGTTCATCAACTCTTAAACTTGTGTTTAAGCACTTTCATAGTTTAAAAGCATATTCACATTTTTTATTCAGGTCACCTGGATATGATCATAAATAATCATTGAGTCCTTTGTGCCTAGCACAGAGACAGGCCCACACAAGGAAATTAATATTATTTAACATTTACAACAGGAATAACTATGGCCCACAGACCAAATACACTTGGTTAAAGAGTTAAGAATAGCTTTTCCATTTTAAAGGATTGAGGGGAGAGAATGTAGACCATAAAGCCTGCAAAGACTAAAATATTTGCCATCTCACCCTTCGGAGAAAGGGTGTGAGGACTCCTGATGTATATAATGATTCACAACTGACTGTACTTATAAATATTAGCTATGCATGACTGCCAATACACTATTAATGAGAACACCTTGCTTTCATATATATTCTCAATCATTTAAATTCTTTCGTTATGGTAAGGTGGGGGAGACAAGGAAAGTTTAAATCTGCTAAATACTTCCCAGTTCTGTCACCTTTAAGCCTAGAGGTTGGTATTAAACCCCAGGGCAGGGCTGGTGCAGTTTACCAAATTATTAGGCCACTACTATGAGCAGGGAGTTCAGGGTGTCTCCTTAGAGCCTCATTCTGTTCCAGGCTTACTTGTTCTTTTTTGTAACCATCACTAGGATTCCCAAACCCCAGGAATTCTGCTCACTCAAGCTCAAAGAAGTCAGGTGTTGCTGGCTGGTACTTCTCAGCAGGCTGGCACATCTGTGTACTTTTTATCTAATTGTTCTCATTGGTCTGGAGCATCTCTTCACATTTTCTTTAGATAGCCTGGCACTTTTCTCCCCCATAAGCCTAGAGCCTCTTACGAAAAGGGAGGACTAAAATACAATTTCACCCATTTGTCTCTCTCAAACAGAGTGGAGGTGAAAAGAAATGAAGTTTTTAAAAAATACCTAAAACTTAATGACTCAAAACTCTGATAAAAACTGCCTTAGACTGGCCCAGGCATAATATTGCCAATCTCAAGATATCTCTTCAAGGTAGTAACATCATCAAAAAGGACATCTCAAAGTAAGTGGGCTTAAATGGAGATTTGAAAACTGGAAAGGGAGAACTAAACATGTCCAACAGTAGGGAAGATACCAGTAGAATAGAAATGAGGTTTAGGGTTCTCATATTGGGATTTCTTCCGGTCTTGGGGTTTCCAGTCTTCTGAGATTCTGTGTCATGGGACTCCAGTTTCCCACCTAATTTAGTCTTAATATATCTGTCTCTCTTGGGCCTTTGAGTCCATGTAGAGACACTTGACTCCTGGGTTTTTATGTGCATGTAGGGATTCCTTATCTTCGGTTCTTAGGTCTTCAAGCTCAGGCTTTTTATCTCAGGTCTTAGGCCTTGTGTCTCAGGTCTCAGGCCTTCCATGTGTCCCCACTCAGGTCTTCATCCTCTCATCCTGAGTCTTCAGCCTTCTGTCTAACTCAAGACATGAGACTTCCATCCAACTTAGTCAGGTCTTCTGTCCAACAAGGGCCACTTTCTGTATGTACATCATGGTTCTATCTTCTGTGTTGGGACTTCTACCCACTATGGGCCTTCTACCTTTTGTCCATCTTAAGTCTTTGGACCCTTGGGCCTTCTTTTAGTTTTGGATTATTTCACAGGATGGCCTGGCATAAGGAACAGCTCTTCAATGCTTCTTTTGATAGCAGACACTCTGCACCTATTGGGAAGGGGTTAGGAAGCCCCTTTGTCACAAACACAAACATGCACACAATGGGTGTACACACATGTACAAAAAATACACAAGGAGAGAAGATTTCAGGAAATCAAAGGGGGGAGACACAGACTCATGAAGAGATTGAACTACCCAAAGGTGGGTGGAAGAAAAGCAAAAGAAACAAAGAAAACAGAGAGAGGAAAGTTTAAACGGAAAGACACAAAGAACAAAGAGACACTGAGGCACACAGAGCAGGAAAAAGGAGAGAAAATGGCCCAAGAGAAGCAGAAAGGACACGTAGAAAAGAGATATCCAAGATGAAGAGTAGAAACAGCAGAAGGGAGGCCAGAATCAGAAAAAAGTAAAATGTCAAACTAACAAAATGGGAGAGGGTAATGAGTAAGCAGAGTTCGAAAGAGAAAAAATGGGAGAGGGTAATGAGTAAGCAGAGTTCGAAAGAGAAAAAAAGAGATAGACAAGACAAAGAATGAGCAAAAGCATGTGACTCAGAGACACAATGGGAAGAAGAGTGAAAGAAGAGTCAGATCTAGAACAAAGACAATTAGTAACAAAGGGAAAAAATGAGAGACATCTAAGACAAGGCACAAATGACTCTTATGAACAAACAAAAAAACGAAACAAAGATACACAGATAAGATGCAAGAGGATCATGGAATTGGGTAAAACACACTTTAGCGAACAAAGACCAAAGACATTCAAGGAAGAAATAGACAAGCAAAGAAATACACACTTATGAGTGAAAGAGGTAAGCCAAGGCAAACATTTAGAAGTAGAAGAGACAAGATACACTGAGGGGCACAATAGCCATGAGAAGCATCACAAAGAGAACAAAAGAAAACCAAAAGAAACATTAATAACTACAATAATCTATTATTAGTAACAATATTATTTATGTCACTATCAATAATTATGATAACCGCCACCAACACAAATGCTCTTCTACTTAGACTTTTTTTACCTTAGAAATTCCTTACATAGACCCAAAACATGCCAACTTTGCCAGCCACTAGACGGTAGTAGTGGTCACTAGTGTTGGTCCAATAAACTTATGAAACTTCTTGGGTAATCTTTAATTTACCCTGTGCCTGGCACTGTACTAGCACTTTACATACATTATTTCACTTAACCTTCATAAACAGACAAGCATAATCAGACACTCTAAATTACCAAAGGCCATACACCTAATGAGTGGCAGAGGATTTAAATATAGAATGTGTGCCTCTTTAACATTCTACTACAACTGTTTACAAGAATTTCCAAGGTGCCACAGAGGAGTAAATATTATTATAAAGGGCTGTTAGAGAGCTCCTAGTCAATGCCCTCATTTTTTATTTTCACCTTTCCCTATCCCTTTAGAAAACTAACTTGATTTTCACACAGTTCACATTATAACACCGGTTTTTCCTTTAGCACTAAATGCAGATAGATTCTCTCACAAGAGGAGATAAGAAAAAGGGTACCCTTTCGGCAAAAAAACCAAAAACTTCTTTTTAAAGTTTCTATGTTTAGACCTCTAAGAGTGGCAAAGAATTTATGCAGTGAAGATAAAGAACAGATAAGGTGAGACTAACCTTGACACAACTGGTATAGACTAATTAATCCTTAAATTGCTTCAGTGAACCCAGTTGGTTATACAGGCATAACTTACCTTGTTTTATTGCACTTGACTTTACTGTGCTTCACAGATCTTGCATTTCTTACAAAATGAAAGCAACATCCTCTACTAGCAAAAAGCTTACAACTCACTATACTGCTTTATTGTGGTGGTCTGAAACCAAGTTGCAGTACATGTGAGGTATGCCTTTACAGGTTAGTGTTCATCCTCCCATCTCACATTCAGGCCCCTCTTCTCTATATTACACCACGATACCCCATCCCACAAAAATCTCCAACAAACAGCTATTAGTAGCTCTAAACCAGTCCTCACATGATTACAACACCAACAACTTACTTCATTCTGCTATTCTAAAATGCTAGAGTGCCAAGCATGTTGATCTTCCTCTGGGGTCTTCAAATTTCTTGCTCTTTGCATTGCTTTTGAGAAAGATTAATGATTTGGTAGATATAAAGGGAACAATCAGGAGCTACAAAAAAGAAAAAAAAGGAGGGAATCTATATAAATGCCATAAAGAAGTATTAACTGAGTACTCACTAGAGTTATGGGAAGATTCAAATTAATGAGTTATAGAAACTATCTCTACAGAGCTTAGAAATGTATAAAGTTTAGGTCCTTAGAGGTAAAACTAATACAACTTCCTCACTGAACAGAATGGGAAACTATGGGATAAACAGGAAAATGTCTTGTCTAATAATATTCGATGAGCCACTGGAAACACCAACATTACTTGAATGCTAATCTGTACAAAGCCTTTATAATCAGGACTTACTACACTTCAACCCATCTCCCAACCTGAAGCCACCTAATCAGCCTCTCTCATCACTGACCTACAGTGTGCAGGGCTCTGGTTCTTTAGATCTGCCTGACAATAGATAACTTTGTGCAATTTCTGGTCAGGTTCCTATTTCTAGTTGTGAGGCTTCCATCAATCATCAAGCACGACATAAAAAGATACAACTCTTATTTATCTTCTGAAACAGCATGTTTTGTGTTTTATTTCATGGACATTCCAAGGCATCCTAAAGTATGTAAATGATTTGTAAAATTCTCCAATAGGGCCTCAGGGGAGACTCTGAGGACTAAAGGGTCCAGAATGATGATCTGCCCATGATCAATATTGCAGATGTGGCAGCTGTTGTCCATGTTCTCTTAAAAGAACAATTTAGCTGTAGGCTTCTACAACGTACTACTGTTATAGTCCCACTCTAAACACCCTAACTCAGGCAGCCTGCTACTCTCTTCACATCACCATTTTGACCCATCTCACACACAGTTGCTTCCCAGGTGAGTTGGGAAGCTGTTTTTACCAAATCAGACACAGTCAATAATGATCAGAACAATCTCACTGGAAAGCTAAATGCAATGTATACTGAAAAATTAAAGACAGTGTCCTTATTGTGCTTTAGGGACAGCTTACCCACCACCTCTGATGTACGGAGAACGTCTTGAGACTTCACCTTCTTATCTGGGCCCAGGAAAGAATCTTGGTAGAAAGAACCTCCTGGCCTAGGGTTGTTGCCCAGTGGTAGTGAGCTTTTCCCCTGGAGGATCCTCATGCCCCATCTCCACCTAGGGATCGTCAAAGGGAATAGGTCACTAACACTGAAAAGCAACAAGCCTTTCTTCTGAGGAAGATCTGGAGAAGAGATGAAAGAAAAACAAATTAACAAATTACTGAAATGCAGTATACTGGGAAAGTCTGTCTCAAAGAGCAATTAGCTATTAGATTAAGTGATGTCTACCCTTTTTAGTATGGATTGAGGGGTGGAGATTGAGAACTGTGGAGAGCTCTATATTCTAGCTACCAGCCTGGAGAAAAGCAGAGTCTTCTGCTCATTCCAGCTCCATTCCTTGAATTTCCCCTCATCTCAAAGAGAAATTTAGAGGTGAATTATTACCAAATCCCATACTGTGCTTTATTCTCCACTCTACTAATGAGCAATCTTCTATAGTGTGGATTATTAATGTTCGGGCGTTCTCACCATAAAATAAAGTGAGGGGTCAAAAAGTCAAGAGGTTGAAAATAACAGAAGGAAAAGATAAATTTTCTCAAACAAAAGACCTATCAAGCTACTTAGAAAAGATCTAATATTGTCTCACCCTATGAGTTCTATAAGAACTCTTCATACTGCCTCAAGCTTCTTTTATAAAACACTGTTTTAATAACTGAGCAATCTACTTCAAAGTGTCTCTCTCTCTCTCACCTAGCTCTGTAGCATTCTTCTCTTTTAATTCATATGTTAAGTAGTCAGATGCTGGAGCACTGCCAAGGTAAACAATTGTTTTCTATTCAATCCACATGGTACATTTCTTGAACACCTTCCATAGATTAGACACTACCAAAGTCCCAAGATATTCAGAGAAATCAAGAATCTTTACAGTGATATAAAACCTCAGTTATTATGACAGCTAAGCAAGTCTACATAAAAGGAAAAACAAGGTACAGAAGGCTAAGAATCCGATAAACAGCTTAACACAGGACCTTGGGTCTCTTATTCTACCTTTTAGCAATTTCATGGCTTTTCAAAGTAACAAAACCTCAACTTCTTAAAATAATGAGGGAATGACAGGAACAATGAAATTAGGCCTGCCAAAACAGGGCTATGACAGATCACATTAGTATTACTCATAACAAATCCTCAGCTCTTACTACCAGCCTGCCAAAGGAAAGTAGAAATAATTTTCGAGACCTATTAATCAGAAAGCATAGGTTTGTTCTTTCTCCTAAGTAGCTAAGAGATTTGAAAGGAAGTAATTTATTGTTTTGTATCTCTAATTCTTTATTTATAAAAAGGAGATCAAGTATTCTTGCCCTTATAGACCTCACTGAGCCTAGCTCTGAAGGTTAAATGGGAAAGTTAAAATGTACATATACATTAAAAAAAACAAAAAACGCACATACACAACTGTAGGATTTGACGAAAACTGGCTCCTGTTCTGTTTTAAAAAGGAGATCTGCAGGAAGTTAAAGTCCTTAAAGCCAAAGAAAGAATTCCCACAACAAACTACCTTTTTCTCCACGTAGTCTGCAAGCCGTCCTTAGATTAGTTGGAGCTTATTCAGATTTTCAAAAGGAAAGATCTGCTGAATATGGAGCTTCTTAGAGCTGCTTGTAGTCGTCAGGTCTCACATGTTCAGAATGTCCTTGAGGGGAAAAAGACAGCTCAGTAGGATAGGATACCAAAACTATTGGGAAAACTTCAACATCAAAAAAACTAGGAAGCATGAACCTGAATCATTAGATATAGGTGTGTCCTGTCTCCCTCAGGTCCTGTAATGGCAAGTACTGGCAGTATCGCTGAAGGTTAAAAAAGAACTAAATAAAAATATAGGTCAAACCAATACCCACCTTAAGGGCTGACTAAATTTCTGGCCTAAAGGTCATGCTCTTGCTGAAAATACTTCAAGGTACAAGGTAGCAGAGAAATTGTTACTATTACCTGGAGGTACAATTGCCTTGACCATTTTTAATATTTAGTTAACTGTCTTTACTATAAGATAGCTCACTGAGGCAGGTCTAAGCCAGGTTTGCAATCTTCAAAGTATTTTGCATAGTACGGTATGGTGTGAAAAGAACCAGATATGGCTTCTAGATTTCTGATCAGGAATTGCCATATTATTTATAAGGGCCTTTATGTCAACAAATTCTAATTTTAAGTGAAAGATCACTTACTCAGCTCTATTCTCTAGATAAAATGTCCAGTAAAGCCAAACTGGTACTTTATGATGTTCTCAATATGAGCAGAACAAGCTTCAAAATCTCTTAGCAAATCCTTTCCCATCTTTATTTAACCTAAGATTAGATACTTCATCCCTAAATACAGGCTTCCAGTTAAACATGGCAGTCCATACATTATACATATTTACTGTGCTCCCTTCTGAAACCCTATTAATGATGGTAAATGGACACTCCATGTGAAAAAAATTTTTCCCAAAGAACTTTTAAATGGATCCAAGCTCAAATTCATTATACATTGTCCAGTTAAGGTACCTAAAAGGAAACAACTTTTCCAACCTCCCCAGATCTTCTGAGCTACTACAGACCATATTTACTAAGTATGGCTGCTTTAGCATCAAAGCTTATGTTAGTATAGTGATGGCATATACAAGGATCATTCTCTTTCCCTTAAAGGGATTCTATGGGCAGAGAAAGTAGTTACATTTTGGATCAGAAGAATACATTTCATTACAGTTCAATATTCATTGATAAGAATTTTTAGACTCTTGATCCATCATCCCTTAGTCCAACAAAATGTCAAGGTACTTTAGACATAAAAACCAAGTGGTGCTCAGCCGGCGTGGCTCAAAGATTGAGCATCCACCTATGATCCAGAAGATCGAGATTTGATTACTGGTCAGGGCACATGACCAGGTTGTAGGCTCGATACCCAGTGGGAGGCGTGCAGGTGGCAGCTGATCAATGACTCTCTCAGCATGGATGTTTCTCTCTCTCCCTCTCTCTGAAATCAATAAAGATGTATTTAAAAAAAAAAAAAAGACAAGTGGCATAGCCAGCCAGTTCAAATATTCCAACACCAGACAAATCACAGAATTATGACAGAAAGAATATTAATGATCATGTAATCCAGTATTTCATTCTCTACATAAAGAAACTGGGATATCAGTAGATGAGACTCCCTCAATGTTATAAAACTAGTGGGTGGTGGAGTGATATGTAAACACAAGTCTTCTCTCAATCCAAAGGTCTTTTCACTCTGAGGTCTGGACAAAGATTCTCAGGACTATAGGAGCTTTCTAAAAACTGTCTACCATATTTATATTTCACCATAAGGATGGTCCAGATCAGCTAGATGACTAACTCATAATGGAGGCTTGCATTGCCAGATTGGTGGCAAATGGTATTAATTTTGTTGCCTAGAGTATAAAGAAAAGAACAGAGGAAACCATATAAATGTGTTTTGTGCCAAATAAAAGACAATAGTGTTGCTGCTGTGTGCTATAATAACAAGATTTTGCAGCAGTTTGAAAAGAGCAATTTGGTTAAGTGCATTATCACAGCATGTGACAGCAGAGACATACTATGCTGCAAAAGAGGCAACACCATAATAGTACTATTTTTACATTTCAACAGTTTTATTATAGACCTAAGCAAAAATTTTATTCCTATTTTGTTCATACCCTTTAGCTTAAAAATTATTTCCATGAACTTAAAGTGTGCATACGAATTTTCTTACGAGTTTAATCAAATATAACAAAATATTAATCGTAAAATTTAAGTGATTACAATCAACATCAACAGTGATATGTCATGTCTCATTGTCTATAGTATAAACTCTTAAGAAATAAGAACGGCAGTCTATGCCTCTGGTGGTCCTCTTCCCAAAAACTCATAAACCCAGTCTAGTCATAAGAGAAAGTACAGATTTTCTCTAATAACAACATTTCAATATTGGTTTACTAATTATGACAAACATACCATAGTAATGTTAAGACGTTAATAGGGAAAATTGGGTGTAGGGTATACAGGACCTCTCTGTAATAGCCTTAGAATTATTCTATACAATTCTAAAACTGTTCTAAAGTAAGTTTTTGTTTTGTTTTGCATCTCCCAACCATATGCTGAAGGCTTATAAAATGCAGTTTTTTAAAAAGCAAGTGAAATAGAACTTGAGACTGGTAATTCTATGTTCCAGATTTTGCTACAACAGGTACCTTCATTGTTTGCAAATCTGGGGAAAAGACTTGCTCTCTTTCTTTCCTGTTTATAAGGAATTACTTGTTTAAAATCGAAATACATAAGGTCCAAACATTCAATTATCCATAATAGCAAAAGTTCTTTTCAAAGGTAGTGTGTTTAATGGCTAGTTTTCAGTCAAAGGGGGCATGTAAGGCTGGAAAACTTTAATGATACATAGATTACAGGATAATTGCATACCAACACTGCACAATGACAATCACACTAACAAACAGCATAAAATACAGTATGCTAAAAGTTTTCAAAGCTGTGTATATAGTAATCTAGATATTTTATGAAACTCACTAATGTACAGTGATCTCCCAGCCATATCCCTATTTCGAAATTATTACCTGCATAAGCATTTGATTACACGGTTTAAGCAAAAAGAGGGTATTACTTGGGTCTGCTGCCTAGCCTCTATTTCTGGACAAATTAGTCAAAATACTTGAAATCTATCACTGGTCAAATTTAAATTTTGCTTCAATTTCTCAACGTAATAAAAACAAATCAAAAGTTCATTCCAATGTAGGCATGAAAACATTAAAAAAAGTCCTTTATTGAAATTGTTTGTACAGGATGCACAAGGAAGCTAACATGCCATATTTCTGTGCTCTTAATTTGAAGAGGTCAGGGAGCAATCAAGTAAAACCTAAATCACCAAAAAAACATAGCTAACACAATGGCACCAGTACAATGACATATAACTGTGCATGGCCATTGAAGTTTAATTTGCTAATTCAGCAGGTCAGCTAAGTCTCAGATAAATACTTGAGATCCAACTTGAGTTGAATTTTGAAGGAAACCAATGTTACATGCTACTCAACAGTAGTCAAAAATACAGTATTGGGAAAATAGTTTTCTTCCAGTTCAGTTTGTAAGACTTGAGGCAGAGGAAAGCATCTGCTCTGTTTAACCATACATGTCAGTACTCTTTGCCACCCAAGAGTATAACATTTGGGGTAACAGCTCAGTTCAGATAAGTTTCTTTCTCCTTAAGCTAGTAAAATTTTTTAGAGAATAGTTTCATAAATAAGAATATCTTAGGAGCCACCACAGTTCAACATCTAATTATTTACTTCAAGTCACAAACTCCCATCCAGATGTATATTTGATAACCAGGGCCCAGATACCCTGAAAAAAAAATTATGTTTAATCATGGCAACTCTGAGTTCATTAGAGAAATAAGTTACAGAATAATAAGTGGAAAAGCTAAAGGGGTTATGGAAAAATATGCATAAAACCAGGGTCAGGAAACTTTCTCCAATCCTATATATTAAGGTTCTATAAGGAGGAAAGTCAGAAAAGATGTCACAGTAACAATGTAGAGAAATGCCTCCCCCCCATTTCAGTGCTTTCTTTTTTTTACCCTTTGAAAATTTTCCAAATGACAAAATGTCATTTCAGGAGCTGAGGTATTCAACTTAAGCCCCTGGTAGTCCCTAGACATGGAGGCTGACATGGATGGTAATTTGATCTGAGGTTAGAACCAGAACCAAAGGCTAGCTGTTCTTATTCCCACTTCATAACTTTTTCATAATTTTGCCAGCATCTCACTTCTGCTTCCAAATCCATGAAAAACAGCAATTCACTCCATTCTAATAGAACATGTGCTTCATTAAAATGCACTTGCAAGAAGTAATCAAGAGTAGTACCTGTAAGCCGTCAGCTCACACATTCCCAAGCCTGCTCCCGAGCACACCATCACCTGGATCAGTAAGTGTTTCCACCCAATCTTCTCTGTCCCAAAGAACTTCCCAAAGTTTTTATGGTACTCATCAAACTGCCTAACACTATAATGATTTGTGCATCCTCCATGAGATAGCCAATTCCTTGACATAAACCATGTCTTTGGTGTTGTTATTTATTCCAGTACCTGACCCAATAACTATTGGTTAACATAAGTTGTATCAATTTTGAAGATGCCCACATTTCCAGAGCACCTCTTTTCAGACCTGGAGACTTTGTTTTGAACAATGAATTGAAATACAACTCCAAAATTCACCTTTGGATGCTTTCTAGTGCAGAATTCAATCCACCTATGATTGACGCATCATTCCTAAGTAGGGCTTCCAAACTGGCTCAGAATTCATCCCTTTAAAACAAATTCCAATAAATCGTTATAGTTGTATGTTAACATTGAATGATAATTTTATTAGTAGCAATAAAATATTTCATGAGCATAGACCAGTGTTTCTCAAATTGGGGCGATAAGAACCTGGAGATTTGTGGATATACTCATGGATCCCCAAGTCCTACGTAAATTATATATATATATATGTATTTATTTTTCACAAAGGATATATTAAAATTGGGAAACATGTTTACATTTCAAATAACTTTCTTAAGTCAGTGTTCCTCAAAACACATGCTCTTTATGATTTCATAGAATTTTGTTCCTTTAGAACAAGGGTGGGGAACATCCTACCCGCGGGCCATATACAGCCCTCAAAATCATTTGGTATGGCCCTGCCAAGGCCTCACAAAAGAGAAGCAGTTCCAACCATCACATTAAGGGTGAGTTAACTAAATGTTTGGCCAAATATAGCAGGTTAATTTTTTTAAAAATATATCTCATTGATTTCAGAGAGAGGAAGGGAGAGGGAAACATCAATGATGAGAAAGTCATAGATCGGCTGACTGACTAGTTTTTAAGTTGATAATTTTGTATGGCCCGCGAATGATGTTATCAATATCCAAATGGCCCTTGGCAGAAAAAGGTTCCCCACCACTGTTCTAGAAGGTGCTTCATTCTGACAAATTACTTCAGTTTGAAAAACAATGGCACAGACCATGCTTCCAAAAAGGCTCAGGACCATTTGTATATTACTCCTAGTCAGTCAGACAAATAATGTCTTCAGGCAT